CATGAGCGGCGGCAGAACACTTGGGACGCCCAGAGCCCAAGAGCGAGTACGGCGTAGCAAACGACCTCAAAAGACCCGCACTCCAAGCACCTGTACACGGCGGACATGTTCACGCACGGGATCCAGAGCGCCGCGCACTTCGTCATGTTCTACCAATCGATCAAGTATTCTGTACGCGGCCTGGCCCCTGCCCCGCGCGCCCCAGCGGCCCGGGCCGGCGGGAGTGGGGCGCGTGTGTCCAGCTTCTCACGTGAGGTAGGGAGCGGGTTGCATGAATGCCGTGGGCTCGGGACTCCCGGCCGCGGGTGCGTGGGCTCCGGGAGCCCGGGGGGCGTGGGCTCCGCGGGCCGGCGCCGGCCGCTGACGTGGCGTTGGGAGGAGGGGGCGGTCCCCGAGGGGAGAGCCGGGAAAGGCCGTCCTCGGCCGCGCTCCCCTGCTCCTCTGTGCCCCCGTAGGGCCGCTGGAGCCCAGCTGTCACCCGGCCAGCCCTGCGCCCCAAACTTCTGCGCCGGCCGGCCCGCCGGGAGGGTCCCTCCCGCCGGCCACGGAGATCGGCCGTGCACCTTTGGTTTAACTGAGAACAGGAACTCTCGAAAGTGTGGTTCCCACTTGGAGCGTGTTTTGTCGGGGTGGGGGGGGGCTGTCCCATGCAGAGGAGGGAGTAGGGGTCCCCAGACCGGAGCCCACCGTCCCCACTGGGGAAGAGGGAGAGGAGGCGGCGGCGGCTCCGGGTGATCCCGGCTTCTCAGCCTGGGGCTGCAGTGTGGGCCTCGCGGTGCCCCGGGAGCCCCCACCCCGGGCATTGCCCACGGCCGCCGTCCTGCCGGGCCCGCGTGTCCCTGTCCCGAGGCCGGCGCGTTCTCGTGCGTCTGAGCAGAGAGACTTGGGGATGGCCTGGCGCCTGCCTGCTTGCTTGCTGCAGAATTCAGTGTTCCTCCCAGGAGCTCGGAGAGGTTCACTGGGGAGGAAGGTGTAGGGAGGAAGAGAGAAGAGGCACTGAGAAACTGGCCTGTTGGGACAACTGTGCCTGTTAACGTGGGGTAGACGTCTCTGTGCACTCTAGATTCTAGCTGTTGCAGCGTCTCCGCTCTCTGGGAGCCGAGGTGAAGTTTGGGGCTGCTCCGAATCGTAGGCATCGCTTATGGACAGTGTATCTGGGGAAGACGTTGTGCTTCAAGGTCTCTGGCACCCACTGAGTAGTGATGGAGGCAGTGTTTCTAGCATAACAGTCATTAGTAGTCACTCCGTGCTAAGCGTTCCAGGGATACACCTCACTGGAGCCAGTATAGGCAGAATGAGCCTATGGGTTTCCTCTCTTTCTAAAGAAGAGGTGATGTGGAGATGTAGGAAGGGCCGGTGGTGCCCATGGTGGTGTTTAATTGTGAGGTCTGTGCAATAAACACCAGCTAGCCTGGACTGCGAGTGCCCTGGCCAGTCTGGGCACTGGGTGTTTCGTGTCTTTTTCATTGTATGTAGCTTACAGATGTTTAGGTGGATGCTCTTAGAAAAAGTAACTAAATTTTTAAAAAAGATTTACTTATTTATTTGAAAGGAAGAGTTACAGAGAGGCAGAGAGACAGAAAGAGAGAGAGAGAGGTCTTCCATCCGCTGGTTCACTCCCCAGCTGGCTGCAATGACCAGAGCTGTGCAGGTCAGGAGCCAGGAGCTTCTCCCGGGTCTCCCACGTGGGTATAGGGGCCCAAGGACTTGGGCCATCCTCCACTGCTTTCCCAGGCCACAGCAGAAAGGTGGATTGGAAGTGGAGCAGCCAGGACTCAAACTGGTGCCCATATGGGATGCCGGCACTGCAGGCAGCGGCTTTACCCATTTCCCTGCAGCACGAGCCCCAGAACATGGAATTTAAATATAAATTTGTTTGATGGTGGCTTTACCTGCTACGCCACAGCACTGGCTCCTTAATTTTTTTTTTTTTAAGGTTGTTTATTTGCAAGGCAGAGTTAGAGGGAGAGACAGAGATCTTCCATCTGCAGGTTCACTCCACTGATGGCTCCGATGGCCAGGCTGGTCCAGGCTGAAGGCAGGAGCTTCATCCAGATCTCCCACGTGCTTGACCGGGTCCAAGTCCCTGGGCCATCTTCCGTTGCTTTCCCAGGTGGACTAGCAGGGAGCAGGATTGTAAGTGGAGCACCTGGGACACAAATGGGTGCCCATGAGGGCTGCTGGCTTCAGAGATGGTGGCTTAACCCACTACGCCACAACGCTGGCGCTGTGCAACTCAATTTTTATTTGTTTGCTTCTTAACTGTCTACATATTTAAAAAGAGATGTGTGGGCTCCCATGCTGGAGTGAAGAAGGTGAACTTTTTCAGAGCAGTTCGGGGCTTAGATGGAATCCGCTGTGAACCGTCCCCACTTGGCACCTCTTTCCAGTCTTGGCTACTGTGGAAGGGGGCAGGGACACCATGTAATGAAAACATTGACCTGTGGATTCTGAACTTGGCAGGCATGAGGTTGTCCTGCTGCTGGAGATTTGGGGCCAACATCAGGTCACAGTTTCTCTGGCCAGTTTGTGGGTCACTCTGAACCTGGTTGGCAGAGAGGTCAAGGTTAGGACCAGGTGTCTTTGCTCTGTTTCTTGGCCACAGGCCTACCTCCTGAATGCAGCTGGCTCTCACAGAGTGCGTGCTGTGGCTGCTGTGGCGACAAGGGCCCCACACCAGAAGCACTGACTAGCTGGCACCTGCAGATCTGTCACAGCTATCCCCGGGGGAGGGCCGTGCTCAGCTTGGTGCCGGCTGAGGTGGCCCGTTTGGTTTTAGTGCCCAGTGAACTGACTTGTTATTCTTGTTCTTCGTCTAGTCTTGTGTCAGTTTTAGCAGTGTTTCAGAGGAGTTCTGCTTCCAAAATGAGCATTTCTAACCAAACTGCCCCAGAGTCTTAGGCCTTGGTGCAGGCCAGCCCGTGGTCACTAAGTAAGTCCTCCTAGTCCAGCATTAGCACAGACCATGGCGTCTTTGGTTCAGCGTCAGGTGTACCTGCCATCAAGGTCGTGTCTATACATGACAGCATCACAGATCATGTGGTAAGACGCTCGCTTTCTAAGCAGTTTGCTGGATCTCAGGCCAGCAAAGGGACAAGGAATTCGCATATCCCGTTGTCTGCGTGCTTTGGAATTCTGTGGAACTTGGCGACTTTTTCCTTACCTTTCTCTCTGCACCCCCTCCCTTTTGCCAGACTCACTTTGTTGAATCTTCAGAAGTTAAACCCACACGTGCAGTTTTACTGTGCTGTTTTTCATTCATTTTGCTAAGAGTTGGCTAGCTCCTGGGAATACATTGGTGAAAATGACAATACTTGTCTCCTTGGCATTCACGCCAAATATACCTAAATACAGCACTGGGCTTTCCTTCATTGTTAACTTCCAAAAAAGAGGGAATCATTTTATTTCACTCTCATATGAAGCAGATTCTCTTAGCTCACCAAGAAAGTGCTACTCAGGAAAAACATATTAACTTAAACTCTCTCAGCACCATCTTTAGATACCTTCTTTCTTTCTTTTTTTTTTTTTTCCAACTCTGCAGAGTTACAGAGAGAAGGAGAGAAAGATCTTCAGTTAGCTGATTCAATCCTCAGATGGCTGCAATAGCCGGGGCTGGGCCAGCCTCAAGCCAGAAGCCAGAAATTCTGTCCGGGCCTCCCATGTGGGTGGCAGGGGCCCAAGCACTTGGGCCATCCTCTGCTGCCTTCCTAGCACATGGGCAAGGAGCTGGATTAGAAATGGAGCAGCCGGGACTCGAACTCAGTTCTCATATGGGGTGCCAGTGTTGCAGATGGGAGCAGCTTGACCTGCTGTACCACATTGCCAACCCCTGGATGCTTATTTCTGAGATCATTTGTCAGAAAAGAGAAGAGGCAGAGGGTTGTTAGTGCAGATTTTATTGAAATATTATTTTGGGGAAGAACTCACCATTATATGTATTGGATGTTCTGGCAAACAAGCATTTTTTAGATATAGATCACTTTAAGAGGCAGTGCAGCGAGTAGTGACCTTGTCGACATGAATGTGCACTTGCAGATAAGTGAGAAAGAACCCATGTCTCATAGTGCTGTGTGACTGCGTTTGAAGAGTGCAGTAAAGTTTCCAGTGTTGTCTCCTAGGGAATTCGAATGTGGCACTGCAGACAGCTGGGCCCAAGTGAGAGGCTCCTGCCGGATGACTCGGGGTAGCCCTAGCAGAGGAAGGCGCTGGTGCCCCCATGAAGAGTGGCAGGACACCATACCCCAACTAACTAGCGTTATTGTAACTGATAGGTGATTTGAAAATATCTACGATGTAACCGAATTTACACAGTGATTGTTACAAGTAGACATTCGGTTGTTTCAGTTTGGGGAGCCATAGCTTCTCATTAGAGAAAATGCAGTAGTGACTGAACTCTGAGGTCGCCTCGTGTTTGTGGCTATCTGGTTATGTGACCAGCTTGTGACAAATAAAGGAGCAATTATAGCAAGAAGTGCGAAGCTACTGCCATACTTGGAGAGCAAGGAGCTTTCCAGAGAGGGGGGGAGAGGCTGGACCCAAGCAGCTGGGGAGTCAGGGAAGCCTTTCTGGGGGAGGTGACATCCAAGCTAGGAATTAGGTAGAATTTCATGTCAGAGGGAGAGAGCGTGTGTTCAGAGTCCCGGAGGCACGCCAGTTTGTGGCCTTTCAGGAAAGCTACAAACACCATGGGAACACTCAGGGGGAGACAGCAGGGGAAGAGGGGCACATGCTGTGGTGGGCTCTGATACAGCAGTCAAATGTGGGAGGTCAGCAGAGGCCAGATCAGGGAAGACCCAGAACAGCACCTGCTCCGTTCTCGCTCTGCGGCAGTTCTCTGGAGGGGCTTCAGCAGGGAGTGGGGTCCTGCAGCCATGGTGAGCTTTCCATCTGCTGCCATGTAACGAAAGGACCAGTGCCCATGACCCCAGGGTGGAGGGCTGGCGTGCTCAGACACGCAGGCCCCAGGCACTCAGCGTCCTGTTTCTCTCCCCTCATTACAGGTGTGGGCACTGCCAGCGGCTGCAGCCAACTTGGAATGACCTGGGAGACAAGTACAACAGCATGGAAGACGCCAAGGTGTACGTGGCCAAAGTGGACTGCACGGCCAGCTCAGATGTGTGCTCCGCCCAGGGGGTGCGAGGATACCCCACGTAAGTGGGGAGGGAGGGTGCGCGCCTCCCGGGTGGTTCCCCACCTGCTGGCTGCAGAAGGAAGCCCCAGGTTAAACAGCTTGCTTTGTCGTTCTGGCATTTCTGTTGTTGGGGGACGGCTCTGTTTATTGCACGTCTGTTATAGATGCCCCTTGTGTCCTCTTTGGAAAAAGTGTGAATTGATCAGTGTCGGGTTTTCCTGTTTGTAAGGGGGAGTGTCTACAGGATGGTCATGGGGCTCCCTGAGATCCTGCCGGGGCCCATGTCCCATCTGTCTTCCATGATGTGCACAGACTCTGTCACCTCGAGTTGTTTTCCGTGTGACTGGCACAGGGAAGGGAGGTGACATGCCGGAGTACAGTTCTGATCAGTGATCCTGCTTGCCCCTGGACATCAAGGCCTATTTTGTTTTTTGGTTATAAGAAGCAGAAACCAAAAATGACCTGTTCTTCCAAAGAAGGGATGAATGAAAAGGCTGGGGTGAGCTCCTGAGACCCAGCCCAGGGCTGGGGGGGTCCATTTCTCCTGCACCTCCTTTCAGGTTGGTTAACTTTGCAGCTCAGCACCTGTGTTCCTGTGGGCAGACTGGGCTAGAACATTCATTCCAGGAACAGTCGTGGGGGCAGGGAGCCATGGTCTCAGAGGAAGACGGTACCCCCCCTGGGGCCAGCGGCAGACCTGGGATGGGGAAGTGGTTTTCTGAAGAAGTAAGGATGCTGTTTCCAAAAGTTGGCCCCCATGACACTCTAAACACTTGTCACAGTTGAGTAGTGAAGCCACGTCTGTGTAATTCATTACTTGACTAATAGCGGGCCGTCGATGAAGTGTCTAAAATCAGCAGCCATCTGAAGACCTGAGAGGCAGTGGGGGGAACTCTGGGCTGAACATCGCAGCCACAGTGGGGTCCCAACACTACCAGCGACTTCCTGTGCAGCTCTGGCTGCGTCATGTCACCTGTGTGTAAGTCAGGTGGTGATGGTGCCCATCCCCCCCCCCCCCCATGTTGTTATGGGGTTAGATGGAACCATCTGTGTGCAAGCACAAGACTGAAAAGCACACCCAGTAAATGTCAGGGTACACGTTTGGCGTTTCCATTCGGTGGCCGCTTGCTAATCTAAGTATCATAATCCCAGTGTCACATCAAATTAGATCAAGGGGAAGGTCCCTACTGTCCGCACCTACTAAAGGCATTCGCTGCCTCGTGCTCCATGGCATTGCCTTTGACGTGAACTCTGCTCGGCTACCGAGCATCCCAGAGAAGCCGGTGAAGGGGGACGAGGGTGCTGCTTTGCTGCTGGGAGCCTCTTACTTGAAGGTGCAGGGGGTCAGCACAGGTGGCGTGGTGCTGGTGTCTGGCCACTCATAAGTAGCTCTCTGGGACTGTGAGGCTGTGCAAGCCACGGAGCACTGCACCGGACCCGCTCAAAGCACCATTTGGCTGCAACTTCGGGTGTTCCATAGATGCGTTCACAGACTCAAAAAGCTCTCTCTAGCAGATCTGGTCTCCCTGAGTGAGACAAGCACTGGTTTCATGTTGGTGAAAAGCATGGATATGAGCTCACACCAGCGTGAATGTGGCCGGGGGCGAGGGCGAGGGGGGTCCTCCAAGCCTGGAATGCAGGAGGCCGTGAGCTGTGTCACGTCGGAGCCTGCACAGGTTGCCTGGGGGAGCTTTTACTTCCTCTAAAACCGACCCCAGCCTGGCCCAGGGCTGCCCCGGGGCATCTCGGGGAGGAAGTCAGATAGGAGCTTTCTTCCCCATTAAGTTTTTGAAGTGTCACCCGTTATTTTCCATAGTGGTAGAGCCTCATCGTGCAGCCGTCCAGAGTGGCGCCCACTGGGGACTTTCCTTGCCCTGGGCTCCCTGAAAGAGAAATCGCAGTGCACAGATGCCCACGGGGAGGCTTGGTGATGGCGGGGAAGTCAGGCTGTGCTTTGGACCTGGGTTCCTTGGCCCAGTCTCCATCGCGTCTTCCACCTCCATCCACAGTGAGAACTGAAGTCGGGTGTCCCTTCTACTGGAAGGTCTGAAATGGAAGCTCCAGCTCCATCCTTGTGCTCCATGAACTTAATTAAGGAAGAAGGTCTGAGTTGGGGCAGGTTAGAAAGATCTTCAGCACAATAAGGAGAGTTGTGTGTGTGTGTGTGTGTGTGTGTGTTTTTTTTTTTAAAGGCAGAGTTAGAGAGAGAAAGGTCTTCCTTCTGTTGGTTCATCCCCCAAATGGCCGCCACGGCCGGCGCGCTGTGCCGATGTGAAGCCAGGAGCCAGGTGCTTCCTCCTGGTCTCCCAGGCGGGTGCAGGCGCCCAAGCACCTGGGCCATCCTCCACTGCCTTCCCTGGCCTCAGCAGAGAGCTAGACTGGAAGAGGAGCAACTGGGACAGAATCCAGCGCCCTGACCGGGACTAGAACCCGGGGTGCTGGCACCACAGATGGAGGATTAGCCTATTGAGCCATGGCGCCGGCCAGAGATTTTTTTTTTAATATTTATTTATTTTGAAAGAATTAGAGAAAGAGAGATCATTCATCCATTGGTTCACTCCCTAGATGGCTGCAATAGCTAGCCCCGGGCCAGGCCAAAACCAGGAGCCAGGAGCTTCTTCTGGGTCTCCTATGTGTGTGGCCAGGGCCCAGCACTTGGGCCATCTTCTGCTGCTTTCTTAGGCCATTAGAAGGGAGCTGGACATGAACCAGCATCCATATGGGGTACTGGCATTGCTGGTGGCGTCTTTAGCCACTAAAGTACAACGCCAGTCCCAGGAGAGATTTTTTTTTTTAATTTATTTTTTGTTTTGTCAGCACATACCAAGTTAGAAAAATCACAGGCTAGATAGATCTTATTTATTTATTTTCATTATATTTGAAAGGCAGAGAGAAGAGAGGTCTTTCATTGGCTGCAACAGCCAGAGCTGGGCCAAGCTGAAGTCAGGAATTCAATTGAAGTCTCCCTGTGGGTGGCAGAGACCCAAGTTCTTGAGCCGTCACCTGTTGCCTCTCAGGGTATGCACCAGCAGGGAACTGGATCAGAAGTAGAGGAGCTGGGACTTGAACCAAGGCACTTTGATAAGGGATGCATGCAACTCAGGCATTGACTAAGCCCCTGTGCCAAACCCTTGCCTTTACTGTATTGTTTTAAAATGATTGGCCACGGCTGCTTTTTTCTTATTATTTTAAGTGTTTATTTTACTTTTTTGAAAGGCTGAGAGACAGCCTCTTCCATCGACTGGTTTACTCCCCAGATGTCAGCAACATCTTGGGCTGAGGCAGGCCAAAGCCAGGAGCCATAGCTCAATCTGGGTCTTCCCCCGTGGGTGGCACGGCCCCAGGTAATGGGGCCATCACCTACTGCCTCCCAAGTGCATTAACAGGAAATTAGAATTGGGAGCAGAGCCGGGACTTGAATCCAGGTCCTTGGATAGGAGATACCAGCATCCCAAGTGGTATCTTTATCTCCCTGCCAAATGCCAGCCCCAATCTTGGTGTATTTTTAGCTTCAGAAGAGTAAGAAGTAAATCTGACAAACCCTGATCCTTTCTCTTTCCTGCCCTGAAGACTTTGGGAGGGTGGGGAAGCACTGGCAGGGAGGGAGGGAGGGGACTGGGATGGCAGAGTAGGCCCTCTGTTTCCCTGTGGGCCTGGGTCCCACAGCCAGAGACCCTAGGCCCCATGGTGGACGGTGAGCGAGGGTGGGCAGTGTATGGCCTTAGGTCCTGCATAAGGCCAGTCTGCCCGTTTTAATGTAAGTGCCTGGTCTAGCCGTGGCTGGGTGGCCTCATTTTAAGGAGAGCTAGCTATTTGTTGTAGCCTGAAGGTTGCTGTGCTCCAAAATTCCTGGGTCGAAATCCTAAATCCCGAAGTGATGGTGGGCTTTTGGGAGTTGCTGGGGTCACGGGGGTGGAGCTCCCATGGCTGGCACTGGTGTCCTTACAGAGCGGCCACAGAGAGCTCTCTTGCCCCTTTGGCCATGTGAGGCTGTAGCTGGGAAGCCCCATCAACAAACCAGAAGGCCCTCACCAGATGCTGCATTCGCCAGCAGCTGGATCTCGGAGCTCCAGACTCCAGAACAGCACTCTGTGGAAATCTGTGGGTCGAAACCCACCCGAGTCTTGGGCATCCACCTTACAGCTGCCTGAACCTAGGCGCCGTGCAGACCTCCAGTTCTGGCTCGGTGCCTTTTTTACGATTCCGATTCTACACATTGGTCATGGCAGAGGGTGGAGACCTTAGGTGGGTAGGGTTTGCCGGCAGTTGCTGCCCTGAATTTGTTTTTTCTTCTGTCCGTAGCCTCATTTTCTCCCCCAGTTCCTTGCCCCTTGCACGCAGTTAAGGAGCCTCTTTTTCTATTACTGGCGGAGTGACCCAGGAACCGGAAGTGCTGGTTTCCTCCCCGCGGTGGTGTCTTTTGCTCACCGTTTAAAGGAGCTGCTCCCGTAGCCTCTGTTCAGAAAGAAAGGAGAGTGTGAGAGAACAGCACCAGCGCTGAAGATGTTCTACAGTAGGGAACTCGGGTTCTCCGAATATCTGGGTAGGCAGTCAAGTACCAGCCAAGGGAGCCTGGAAACGCCTTGCAGTCTGAATTTGAACACACACACACCCTCACCCCAGCTCCCTCTGCTGAAGCCTGGGGATGGTCGCACACCCCGCAGGCAAATGCCTGGGGCTCCTGCAGGTGAGCCTGGAACACCTGCAGCTTGGGGTTAAACTCAAAGCAGGAGGCTGGATGTTTTCACCTCGCTTTTACATTCCTTGGATAAAATCAGAAGCTTCTGAAAGTTTAGGATGACATGAATGCAGAACCCCTGAGAACATTTCTGTAGTAAGCCCAGGTTTTAATGGGACAGTGGGAGCTGGCTGTAGGCTGCCGCCCTTGCACGGCCCCTTCCCCACGCCCTCCCCAGCTGAGTTTGCTCCCCGAAGAGACCACACCCTGGACTGGGAGCAATGGAAGTGCTTGGGAGTTTGGCTCAGTCTGATCTGTGGTGGTTCTCCTCAGCCTGAAGTTCTTTAAGCCTGGCCAAGAAGCCGTGAAGTACCAAGGTCCTCGGGACTTCCAGAGCCTGGAGAACTGGATGCTGCAGACGCTGAAGGACGAGCCCGCGGTGAGCGCGGTGAGTGCCGTGCCCCTGGCCCCCTGCCCCTGCCCTCCTGCTGCCTTTGTGGGGGTTGGGTGGCACTGGGCAGAGGTCAGCCAGCCTCAGCAAGTAAGGCTGCCTTGTAAAGCAGTTTTGTCCACTTCTAGAGTCCATTGATGCTATAAGGGAAAGTTAACCTTCAGAAAAGATTTATTTATTTGAAAGAGAGATGCAGGGAGGGAGAGATGGGCGGTCGCAGGGAGAGAGAAGAGATTGATTGATTGATCTTCATCTGCTGGTTCACTTCCCCAAACGGCCTCCACAGTCGGGGCCAGGCCAGGCTCAAGGCAGGAGCCTGGAACTCCATCCAAGTCTCCCACGTGGGTGCAGGGACCCAAGCACTTGGGCCATCTCCTGCTGCTTTCCCAGGTGCACTAGCAGGGAGCTGGATCGGAAGTGGAGCAGCTGGGACTTGAACTGCTACTCTAATATGGGATGCCAGTAAAGTTAACTTATCTTAGTAGGTGTACCTGTGGTTCTTTGTCTTTTTTCTAAGATTTTATTTCTTTGAGAGGTAGAGTTACAGAGAGAGGGAGAGACAGAGAAAGGTCCTTCATATGCTGGTTCACTCCCCAGATGGCTGCAACAGCTGGAGCTGGGCAGATCCGAAGCCAGGAGCTTCTCCTGGGTCTCCCCTGCAGGTGCTGGGGGCCAACCACTTGGGTCATTTTCCACTTCTTTCCCAGGACATAGTAGAGAGCTGGATCGGAAGTGGAGCAGCCGGAACTTGAACCGGCGCCCAAATGGGATACTGGCACCACAGGCAGAGGCTTAGCTCCCTGTGCCACAGCACTGGCCCCTAAAGTTAACTTTTTAAGAAAAGCTTTTTGTTACAGAAACATTCAAACATTCACGAAAGTAGAGAGGAGCTTGAGGAGTTCCCGGGGTTTTGTTACCCTCGTTTGTCCCCTCTGCGGTCCCCAGGCTGCAGTCCTTGCCTTCCCGAGTTGACGCAGGGGGAGTGCTCGTTTGGTTGCAGCCCTGGTGACTTAGCCACTCACTGTGCGTCCCTGTGGGCGCAGAGGCTCGGTTAGACTTGTGTCCGTAGGACTGGAACAGTGGCCAGCGCTCACCCCGCTGTCTGTTTCAGTGTAACCGTACGGGCGCCTGAAGTCCATGCATGGAATTACAGTGTCAGCAGTTAACTGAGACCGCTACGTGGCTGTGTCGGGGGTCACCTACTGATTGGAAGGTGGTCCTTGGGCTCGCGCAGCCGCAGCAGCTGTTACGCAGCCGGCAACTCTCTCTCGGGCTGGGTGGTGAAGGACGTGAACAAGCGCTGACCAGAGACATCTAATTTTGGGTAGCAGGGAAAGCCACAGACCTCGGAGAGAGGAAATTTGCATCTCATTCATGAGAAGGAAGCCGGGTGAGCAGGTGCAGCTTTCACACAGATTTAAACCTCGGCGCCCGTTGTGAAGATGTTCTCCTGTGCAGGGAGGGGTGCGGGACGGGGGGAAGCAGAGGGGAGTGAACAGCCTCCCATGCGCTGTATTCTAACGTTTTTCACTGAAGGTGCTGGCTTATCCAGCAGCCAGTAGCAGGATGGGAGAAAGACTTCGTTTTGGGGGTCAGCTTCCCTGTAGGGGAACAGCAGCCCCGAGTGGAGGCTGGGAAGGACTGAGGGATGGGTCTGGGCTCAGCACCCACCTGAAGGGGCGGCCCGTGTCCTCCGGGTGCGGGAGGCAGGGCCGTCACTGCCACTGAGCCAGTCACCCACACTCCAGGTGGCTGCGTCTCCGAGCAGTCGGGGCCTTGGGGGGTTTCCAGAAACAGTGACCATGACGGTGCTGCTGACCGCGGAAAGTTCAAGTGTGCACACTGCACATGGGTGGGGCTTCCCTCATCCAAAACGCTAGGGACTGCACCTGTTTCAGACTTCGGATGTTTTTTCTCATTTGGGAGCACTTGCGAGGATATAACGAGGTAGCTTGCCGATGGGACCCAGGTTAGACACAGAATTCATTCATGCTTCAATTCCAGAGTTTCAAAGGTAGATTTAGAGGTGACTTTAAGGCACACTGGGTTTTATGCGCCCTGTGGTTGTGTGAAATCTAGTGTCACATTTTCTCCCTGTGTCATCACGTCAGTGCTCACAAAATTCGTGATTGTGGAGCATTTCAGATTTTAAATCTTCGGTCTACAAACCAGAAATTCTTCTCAATTTGCAGTGAAAACTTCCTTTAAGAGTTATACCCGGCCGGCGCCGCGGCTCACTAGGCTAATCTTCCGCCTTGCGGCACCGGCATACCGTGTTCTAGTCCCGGTCGGGGCTCCGGGTTCTGTCTCGGTTGCCCCTCTTCCAGGCCAGCTCTCTGCTGTGGCCCGGGAGTGCAGTGGAGGATGGCCCAAGTGCTTGGGTCCTGCACCCCATGGGAGACCAGGAGAAGCACCTGGCTCCTGCCATCGGATCCGTGCGGTGCGCCGGCCGCAGCGCGCTGGCCACGGTGGCCATTGGAGGGTGAACCAATGGCAAAGGAAGACCTTTCTCTCTGTCTCTCTCTCTCACTGTCCACTCTGCCTGTCAAAAAAAAAGTTTTACCCAAGTAACTTCACACATACTTTCTGTATGTCCATACAAGGTAAATTTAGAGATTTTTTTTTACACCCTTCATGTTATGGCAATAATAAACCTAGAGAAAGAAAATCTGTTTCTCATACTTTACCCCAAATTTTGTATTTCCATGTTTGCTTCTGTACTTTTTTGCATACACGGTTGTCATCATACAAGTGTTTTATTTCTTTGACTTTCACACAGTTACATTGTCTTTATACTGATCATAATTTTTATATTGTGTGGATTTGTTGTAATTGGACTGTTTTGTCAGTAAATATTTAGGTTATTTATTATTTTTATGGCATTAGTAATGTAAGGAACACGTTTATCTATATAAAGGATTTTTCCCCTTTCTTTAAAAATTTTTAATTGACACACATTTGTACATACTGATGAGTACAGTGATGAATTTTTTTTTAAAGATTTATTTATTTATTTTAAAGTCAGAGTTACAGAGAAAAAGATCAACCTTCCATCTGCTGGTTTGTTTCCCAGATGGGTGCAATGGCCAGGGGTGGGCCAGGCTGGAGCCAGGAGCCAGGAGCTCCATCCTGGTTTTCCATGTGGGTGGCAGGGGCCCAGACATTTGTGCTGTCTTGCACTGCCTCTCCCAGGCCATCTGTGGGGATCTGGATCAGAAGCAGAGCAGCTGGGACACAAACTGGCACTTGTGTGGAATACTATCATTGCAGGTGACTGCTTCACCCACTGCACCACAATGCTGGCCCCATGATGACTTTTCAAATGTGTTACAACACATAAAATCGCAAGGCACGAAGAAGTCATCATTTGGTTCTTGTTGACTTTCTTAGGAGACTCTTAGTTCACATGGTCTCCAGCTGGGGGAGACTGTACCCTTTTCTGTCAAACACTGTGCTCCCAGGGGAACTTGGGAAAGCGCCAGGGAAACAGAACTGAGCAGTTCAGGAAGTGGGCATTTAGTCTGGCAGTGAGGATGCCCGTGTCCCAACCAGAATAACCGGGTCCCCCTCCCAGCTCCAGCTCCTGACTCCCAGCTTCCTGCAGTCAAGTGTATGTTAGAGCAAGGAAAAAAAAATTTGAGTATCGCTGCATACAAGGGTTCTCCAAAAATTTCATGGAAAATTGGAAAATATATAATATGAAGAAACTGCAGGGATTTGAAAAGTTTTTGGACCCAAGTTATAATTATTTATTTGAAAGGCAGAGTGAAATGGAGAGAAAGATCTTCCTCCCACTGATGTACTCCCAAAATGGTCATGCTGGCTGGGGCTGGCCCGGAGCCAGGAACTCCATCCGGGTCTCCCTCGTGGGTGGCAAGGGCCATGCAGTTGGGTCGTCATCCTGCCTTCTCAGGTACATTAGAAGGAAGCTGGATCGGAAGTGGAGCAGCTGGGACTTACACCAGTGCTCCCATACAGGGTGCTGGCATTGCAGGTGGTGCTTAACGCCTGTGCCACAGTGCCGCCAGTCCACGGGGTTTTGGAAGTACTCTATGGGGACTGCCCTGGTGTTGGCTGAGAGCACAGGAAGTGACAGCGCCCCTGCAGTGCCATACGTGAACCAGCCCTATGGGGGGCTCTTTGAATCGCGTGCGAGGGGTGGCTTGGGCTGTTTTTTTTGCACCTGATTTGAACTCACTATTGGCTTTGCCGTCATTCTCCTGGGTATTCCTTTTTTTTTTTTTTTTTTTTGACAGGCAGAGTTAGAGAGAGAGACAGAGAGAAAGGTCTTCCTTCCGTTGGTTCACCCCCCAAATGGCCGTCTTGCTACACCGATCTGAAGCCAGGAGCCAGGTGCTTCTCCTGGTCTCCCATGTGGGTGCAGGGCCCAAGCACTGGGCCACAGCAGAGAGCTGGACTGGAAGAGGAGCAACCGGAACAGAATCTGGGGTGCCGGCGCCACAGGCAGAGGATTAGCCTAGTGAGCCGCGGCGCCGGCCCTGGGAATTCCTTTGGGTGAGCATCTCGCACTCAGAGGAGAGTTTGCACAGGCTAGCAGCAGAAAGGAAAGCGTCTCTGCTCTGAGCTCGACTCCACGCGGCCTCAAGCCATCGGCGCTTTCCACGCCTTCATGACTGAGCCTGGCTTTTCTTTTTAAGAGGAACGTGAACCACCTGGTGAGAATGGAGCAGTGTGCACCCCTGGGCCTGCAGCAAAACAGTGACCCACTGACCTTTTCTTCACCCGTGGTTACTTTGGTTGGAAGCCACAGCTGCACCTGACCTTAACCACACGGATTCAGGGAAGCGTGGTGCCGTGGTGGCCAGGTCGCGGTGCACACTGGTGTCTGCTCAGGGGATGGCATTGTAAAAAGTCAACTTGCTGGGGCCGGCACTATGGCATAGTGGGTAAAGCCACCACCTGCAACGCTGGCATCCCATATGGGCACTGGTTCAAGTTCCAGCTGCTCCACTTCCGATCCAGCTCCCTGCTAATGCACCTGGGAAAGCAAGAGAAGGTGGCCCAAGTGCTTGGGCCCCTGCACTCACGTGGGAGACCTGGAGGAAGCTCCTGGCTCCTGGCTTCGGCCTGGCCCAGCGCTGGCTATTGTAGCCATCTGGGGAGTAAAACAGCGATGGCAGATCTCTGTCTCTGCCTCTCCCTCTCCCTCTTTCTCTGTACCTCTGACTTTCTAAATAAATAAATCTTTCTTTTTCAAAGGGCAGCTTATGCCTAGCCGGTGGTCTTCTCTACGCTGCCCCTCATCCTCCCATTGCCTCCTCGCCACCTGCCTTGCTCTGGGATCAGTGTTTCACAGGGTCGCCTCCCTTCACAGTTTTCCCCACCATTTGTGCTCCCTGCAGGTTTCTCACACTCAGTTCCGTCCATTCTGCTTGCTCGTGTCTTTAGGAGTGAGCTCACCGGGGATTCCCTCTTGCATTCCTTGTGAAATCTCATTAAATGTCAGAGAAGGGGCAGGCTTTGGGGGTGGCACCGCCCTGAAATCCGTCTGTTCTGTTTGCGTTTGGTTGGGTCTGGGGATGGGCACAGCTGCCGCCCAGCCATCCGGTGAGGCCAGGGAGGTGTGTGCGCCCGAAGCATCCTGACTTGGCGTCGCGCAGAGCTTTGAGGCCGTCCATCGGGGAGGGGAGGGGAGGTCCCACACAGAGGCAGGTCCCTTCCGCGGCAGCTTTCACGGTGTCCCTGACCGTGGCTTTGTTTCCTCCTGCCAGACCCCAGCGCCGCAGGTAGAGCCTCCCAAAGCCCCCGAGCTCAAGCAGGGGCTGTACGAGTTGGCGGCGAGCAACTTCGAGCAGCACATCACACAAGGTAAGGGGGCGCGGCTGGCCCCGCGGGGGGCTGCCTCGCCGGGCTCTCCTGCCTACAGCGTTGGGACCCTTCGGCCCCCTTGTTGAATGCTTCTCCTCTGGGACGTGGTTTCTCCTGCTGTCCCATGTTACTCTCCGGCGTGTTGGCCTCGGGCAGAAATGCACATGCTGTTTGTTCACCCGGGACTTGGGGGAGCCACCGTCACTCGTGACCCCCCAAGCTCTTCCCCACACTTTAAAGCACCTTTCTGAGCCACACCTGGGCGTTTGCAAACACTCGACTAAATAGCACAGTGACCCACGCACAGACTCACCCATGAGGACTGGTGAGCCTCCCATTATCCGTGAACGCATTGGGGGATTCGCTGTGGTCCTGCAGTGTGGCCCACTGAGCACTGGAACTGCTTGTCCACCACTGGTACCGGCCCAGACAACTCGTGGGGGAACCCCCAGCCTCCCTCCTTTTTTTCTTTTTTCTTTTTTTGGACAAGTAGAGTTAGAGACAGAGAGACAGAGAGAAAAGTCTTCCTTCCGTTGGTTCATTCCACAAATGGCCGCTACGGCTGGCACTGAGCCGATTTGAAGCTAGGAGCCAGGAGCTTCCTCCTGGTCTCCCATGCGGGTGCAGGGCCCAAGGACTTGGGCCATCCTCAACTGCCCTTCCGGGCCACAGCAGAGAGCTGGCCTGGAAGAGGAGCAACCGGGACTAGAACCTGGCGCCCATATGGGATGGCGGCGCCGCGGGCGGAGGATTAACCAAGTGAGCCACGGCGCCGGGCCCAGCCTCCCTCCATTGTTATCACAAGTCCGTCATTTTTCTAAACAGCGGAACCTCCTGGTACGTTCTCCCCTCCAGGAGATCCACTTTGGCCTGAGACCGACTCGGGCTGCCTGTGATACGCCACCCCCCAGCTCACCTTGTTGCCCAACGCTTCCCTAAACACGGCACTTCCCGCCCTCGCTGGCTTCCCACCACGTGCTGCTCAGTCTCCTGGGGACCCTGGCGTCACAGGGTGCCTGCCTAGATGACGGCTTCCGTGCTGCAGGGCACTGTCAAGGCTTCGTGTGCATTTCCTTGAGCACATCATGGCTGTGGCCAAGAGGCTGCAGCCGTGAGCATTTGTGGGGCACAGTCCTGCGGGGAGGCCAGGGGCCCGCCAGCACCCTTTGCTCCGCTCCTGCCTTGAACTGCAGCCCGATTTCAGTCGTTGTCTGCCTGACATCCAAGTAGAACAGCCTAGATTAACCAATCTGCGGTGTCCAAGGGGTGCTCTGGTGATGGTTTCATTTTTTTTGTTTCTAGCCAAGGGTGTGATACTCTTTTTTCCTTCCTTCCTTCCTTCCTTCCTTCCTTCCTTCCTTCCTTCCTTCCTTCCTTCCTTCCTTATTTATTTATTTATTTATTTATTTATTTGAAAGGTAGAGTTACAGAGAGAGAGAGAGTCTGTTCTGCTGGTTCACTCCCCAAGTGACTGAAACATCCAGTGCTAGGCCAGGCTGAAGCCAGAAGTGTCTTCTGGCTCTCCCACATGGCTGCAGGGGCCCAAACACTAGGCCCGTCCTCTGCTGCTTTCCCGGGCTGTTACAGGGAGCTGGCTTGGGAATGGAGCAGTGGGACTGGAACCAGAGCCCATCTGGGATGCTGGTGTCACAGGCAGCAGTTTTACCTGCTGCTCCACAGAGCCAGCCCCGATTCGGTTTTCTAATCTTTCATTTTATGGTAAGATTAAATGCAGACGCATAAAAGCAAATGTAGGACCCAGCAAAAATTTTTTTTTTAAAGATTTATTTTTATTTGAAAGAGTTACAGAGAGAGAGGAGGGGTAGAGAGAGAGAGAGGTCTTCCATCCGATGGTTCGTTCCCCAGTTGGCTGCAACAGCCAGAGCTGCACTGATCCAAAGCCAGGAGCCAGGAGCCAGGAGCTTCCTCGGGGTCTCCCACACCGGTGCAGGGGCCCAAGTACTTGGGCCATCTTCTACTGTTATCCCAGGCCACAGCAGAGAGCTGGATTGGAAGTGGAGCAGCCAGGTCTTGAACTGGCGCCCATATGGGATGCTGGCGTTAACCCCTGTGCCACGGCACCAGCCCCAGGACCCAGCAGATTGTGAGGCAGTCACCCTGTCACTGCTATCCAGGTCGAGACATAACCCTGCCAGCTGCTGGTGGTGCCCCGTGGGGAGCCCAGCCCACCCCCTCCTCCCCTGAGGGGGACGTCCCTGTCTTCTGTAGAAAACGCTCCTTTTCTCTTTGGTGTCATCATCACTCAAGTGTGTATTCCTCTGTAGGTTGATTTGGTCATTTTTATACACAGGAGATCCCTGACTTAATGGTGGGTTGACTTCACGATTGTTTGTTTAACTTTACAATGTTTATCAGGCGACCAAATGCATCTCCGATGTTTCTGACTCAGGGTGGATGGGGAAGTGGCCCTGGCGTAAGGGAGGAGCCCTGTGCGTCTCTGTGAAGGCTCCTTGAGTCTGCGTGTCCCCGCATTGCTCTCCCCTCACACTCGCAGCCGCTGAGGACAGAGACTGTTAGCCGTGCGGCGGCCTCCTTGGTGTGGTGTGCGCGTCTCCCCGGGCTCTGCTTTCCGGGGACCCAACAGTCTCAGCGTGGTGTTTTTCAAGAGGCCCAGGGAAACCCCATGGCTGCTGGGAGCACAGCACACCTGCTTGTCTCTGTTTCGGCTGTGAGCAGGTGTGCCAGTCGCCACCTGGCCCCGTCCATTCGGTAGCTGTACCGCGTACCCGTTCTCAAATGCAAGCATCTCTGCTTTGTTTTTTTATTTTTGGCATTTATCACTTGGTTATTCGGGGTACAGCTTGTGTGGGAAAGGCTGGATACGTGCCTGCCCCTGCCCTTTATTCCGGCTTCTCCCAGCTACGAGCCAGTTCTGTTACCCCTCCGAGACGACCGGTTCGGTTTTCGAGTGTTCTTATGAACTCACGGGGACAGATGTAGACGTGTTTGGGTGGAGAGTCACTTTTTTAATCAGTACCAAAGTGAGATTTGCCAAGAAGCAAGAGAACAAACATGTGATTCTTAGTTACACGTGCGGCAAGCTGTGACGTAAGTCATGGTTCCTCTGTCTCCCCCCCTAAGGCGACCACTTCATCAAGTTCTTCGCCCCGTGGTGTGGCCACTGCAAAGCGCTGGCCCCGACCTGGGAGCAGCTGGCCCTGGGCCTTGAACACTCTGAAACTGTCAAGATTGGCAAGGTAAGCGAGAGCCCTCATTAAACTGGAAGTAGACTGCTCTGGGCTGCATGCGTGAGCGGAGTGGCCCGTTATTCCTTCTCCGTGCACAGCCGCAGAGGCTTGATTTATTAATTCCATTGAGCGTGCCCCTTGATAATTCATTTTCACCTTCGCGGATGGCAGTCTGGTTTTGAGCTCGCTGGCTTTTCCATGGCCTAGAGATGAATTACAGCCTTGGCCGCTGTGCTTATTTTGAAGAGATGGCCGATCCTGAGTTGGCAGCTCCAGCTCTGCTCTGCAGAGATACGGGGCAGAGCCTTGGAGAATGTTCCCTGGATGTCCTGGGAGAGCATCCACATTTGATCTCACCCAAGAGTGCTTTCCCAAAGGACGCCGGGCTCTGCACAGGCACACAGAAGGGGCCCCTCTCGGCGCTCCCTGGCCTGGGCGCCTTCCAGCTTTTCCCGTTTACGCAGAGGAGCCAGAAGAGCTGTCCAGCAACTTCTGTGTGACGGGCTCTTCTGGACGCGTTCATAGCCGTGTCTAGGAGCGCTCCTGGGCCATCCCTTGCTTTCCTTCCCTCCCTCGCAGAAGTAGAGAGTCAGCGAGAGACAGAGACCTCCCGTTTCAGGTGGTTCACGCCGACTGGGCCAGCCCATAGCTGGGAGCCCAGCGCTCAGCCCAGGTCTCTCCCATGCGCGTGGCAGGTACCCAGCTATTTGTGGCCTCACTGCTGCCTCCCAGGGTCTGCACTGGCAGGGAGCTGGAGTTGGGGGCCAGAGCCGGGCACGGAACCCAGGGCCACCATGAGGGACGGAGGCATCTTAACTGCTAGGCCCCCTCCTGCATCGGTCACTTTTAATCTTGTCCAACCTCTGGCCCCCACACACAGCTGGTCCATGTGGATTTCCTTTTCTAAAAAAATCTTTTTTAATGCACGGGGTTCATGTTGCAGAGCTGTGTGTGTGGGAGCAGTCGTTGCTGGGGTGAACGTCAGTGTGACTGTGCGGTAGTTGAAAGCGTCATCTTGGAGGTCAGAGCTGAGCCAGGTCAGCCGCCTGCTGGCCGTGGGGATGAGAGCCTGCGCTCAGGAGGATGCTCGGCCCGGAGCAGGTGTTGCTAAACTGTCCTCCTGTGTTTACTGACACGAGTGAAGTTTGCTCGGCTGCCTGTTAGACACTCGGAGTCATGGGTTCCAGTTAGCTGTAAGGATTTTATGCGTACTGAACATTTTCATGGACGTGATCATGCAGCAGTCTTGTATCACTATGATCCTTCGCGGGAAGGTCAGTGCACGCCCTTTGAGGTCTCCTCCCAGGACCAGGCGACCCGCAGAGGCCTTGTCCCGGCACACGCGCCTGGCTCAGGCCCTGACAAATGCTCTTCCCTTCCCACACCTCAGGCAGAGGCCCCCTGTTCCAGCTGAGCACTTCGGCTGCTGTCCGACCGTGGTCATTTTAATTTTTTTAACCCTATGTTGCTAATATACTGAAAATCCACTCAGTCCTGCCTCAATGATTACAATGCCAGTAGCAAATCAAAAAGAAAGAGGTTACTTAGCTTCATGGAAATGTTGGGCAAGCAGAATCTCTAAGATGTAACTGAAGCGCAAACCTTGAAGAGCCATGACAGTCGGTAAATTAAGCCCACAGACTTAGGGCCAGATTGCAATCTTAATTTGACATCATCACGGTTTTCCCTTTATTATGTGCCGGATCCTGTTTAAAATGGATTGCTGCTCCCCTCCCCCCTTTCATTTTAAAACTACGAGAGTCAGTTTCCTTTTTAAAAACATTTTACTTACTTGAAAGGCAGAGAGAGAGAGAGAGAGAGAGACCAATAGAGAGAGATAGTCCATCTGTTGGTTCACTCCCCAGACATCCACAATACTTGGGGCTGGGCCAGGCTGAAGCCAAGAACGTGGAATTCAGTCCAGGTCTCCCCACGTGGATCACAGGGAATCAGGTACTTGGGTCATCAGCTGCTACCCCCAATGCTGCCCCTTGGCAGGGGGATAGAATCAGAGCAGACACTGACCCAGGCACTGGGATCTGGGATGTGCGCTTCTCCAGTGGCATCCTAAGCCCCGCGCCAGATGGCCGCTTCTAGAAACAGAAGGATCCTTTCTGCTGGTTCCCAGCCCAAGTGCCCATGGTGGCCAGAGCTGGGCCAGGCCAAGGCTGGGAGCTGGGAATTCAGTCCTGGTCTCCCAGGTGAGCCGTCAGCTGCGGCCTCCTGGCGTGGTCCTGAGCAGGAAGCTGGACTCTGAAGCAGAGCTGGTGCACAAAGCTGGGCCCTTTGACCTGGGCTGTGGGTGTCTACCTGCTCCACTGAACACCCACCCTAAGAGGAGGATTCTGAGCTGGGGTATGAACTGGGGTGCGTCCCACTCACCCACAGCCACGTCAGATGCCTCTCTAGGCTGCCTGGCTTCAGCCATAACCTGCTCATGTTAAAATGTTGCTTCCTATAAATTGACTTTTGTTTTTTTTAAGATTTATTTTTTTATTTATTTGAAAGGCAGAGTTAGGAGGAGAGACAGAGATCTTCCATCTGCTGGTTTGCTCCTCAAATGGCCAAAACCAGGAGCTTCCTCCAGGTCTCCCGTGTGGGTATAGGGACCCAAACACTTGAGCCACCCTCTGCTGCTTTCTCAGGCACATTAACAGGTAGCTGGATTGGAAGTGGAGCAGCCAGGACTCGAACTGGTGCCCACATGGGATGCCAGCACTGCAGGTAGCAGCTTAACCCGCTGGGCCACAGCTCCTGCCGTACCAGTTGGCATTTTTAGCTGAGTTAAGATAAACCCTGTCATCACCCTGCTCCATCAGCTCAAGTGTGTTTCGGGCAGCTTTTGGGAAAAGTCTCTCTCCAGAGTGCAGCTCGCCGGCAGACACACTGCAGAATCAGGGTTTTTTAAAAAGAGGAGGTATCCAGCAGTCATTCTTGCGAGAAGGCTCGTGGAGAGCTGACCGGGGAGCCTTGTCGTCCTTTGCATTCAGGTGGACTGCACGCAGCACTACCAACTCTGCTCAGGAAACCATGTCCGCGGCTACCCCACCTTGCTCTGGTTCCGGGACGGGAAGAAGGTAGGTGTGCAGCTCTCAGCGCTGGCCTGAAGCTCTCCTTTCCTTATCCGCCGTGGGCTGAGGCGTCGGCGGGGGTGAAGTGGGGCGGGTAGGGGTGCAGCAGGCGGGCAGTGTTGATAGTTTGGGCACTGGTTTGGGGAACGTGTGCAGTGGAACAAGCGGCTTCCCTCGGAGAGTGAGGAGATGCAGGCAGTGAGAGAAGCTTTCATGTTACACTGTTTTTTTTGTTGTGGTTTTTTATTTTCTTTTAGGATTTATTTATAGGAACTGGCGCTGTGGCATAGCACATAAAGCTACCACCTGCAGTGCCAGCATCCCATATGGGCACCGATTCGAGACCCAGCTGCTCCACTTCTGATCCAGCTCTCTGCTATGGCCTGGGAAAGCAGTAGAAGACGGCCCAAGTGCTTGGGCCCCTGCACCTGTGTGGGAGACCCGGAAGAAGCTCCTGGCTCCTGGCTCCAGATCAGCACAGCTCCAGCTGTTGCAGCCATTTGGAGAGTGAACCATTGGATGGAAGACCTCTCTCTGTTCCTTTGCCTCTCTGTAACTCTGCCTTTCAAATAAGTAAATAAGTATGATATTTATTTATTTGAAAGTCAAGAGTTAGACAGCGAGAGAGTACTCTTCCATCTGCTGGGTCATTCCCCAGATGGCAGCAATGGCCAGGGCAGGCCAGGCAGAAGCCAGGAGCTTCTTGCAGGTCTCCCACATGGGTGCAGGGGCCCAAGCACTTGGGCCATCTTCCACTGCTTTCCTGGCAATCAGCAGGGAACTGGATCAGAAGTGGAGCAGCCAGGACAAGAACCAGCGCCCTTATGGGATGCCAGCCTCATAGGCAGTGGCTTTACCCACTACGCCAAGGCGCCAACCCCGTTATACTGTTTGGAAACATTTCAGTGGCTCAGGTCCTTGCAAGGGTAACCCAAATTTGCAGTCTTAGGGTAACTGTGTCGTTGCTGGGTGGGGTCTCCCTCCGCCCACAGCCCCTGGCCCATCTCAGCCCACTTAGACTCCTCCAGGCAGCAGGCCTCGTCTGTCACCACAGAGGGGAGGGGTGGCCACATCCTCACGCCACACCAAGACGTGCTGATTGTAGCGGCTCCTTTCCCGACAGCCGGGAGCAAGCTGGTGGGGCGTGCACTGGCTCAGCGGGGTCTCGCATCTCCACAGGTCGATCAGTACAAGGGAAAGCGGGATCTGGAGTCCCTGAGGGACTACGTGGCATCGCAGCTGCAGAGACCAGAGACGGGTGCCCCCGAGGCCAGCAAGCCCACCGAGGCCCCCGTGCTGGACGCTGAGCCCGTGGCCGACAAGGTAGGTGCCTACCCTGCTGGGCTGACCCAGTGTGGCCCTTCCTCCTCCAACACTGGGAACAGAATGACAGCTGGGGGACAGTGAGGAGCCCTTCTGATGGCTGGCTGGAAGCATTTTGCTTTATCTGCTGCCCCATGCTCTGCATGTTCAATGGGAGACCTGCTGAGACAGGGGCGAGACGGATCCTGGGACCGTGTGCGTGGTCTGAAGTCTCTAGAGCCGCCTTCCTCTCTGATCCAGGCCTTGGGGGGATTCCCTGTGGACTCCCAGCTGCTGTCTTCCCGGCAGCGCCCCCGAGAGGCACAGGTGGCAGACAGGGCAGCGTGGGGCCAGGCTGTGGGCCCGTGTCTGTCTTCACTGCATTTGTCAGCACGGTGCTAGGCATCCAGGGCAGCAAACACACACGAGAGTTTCATCCCGTGTCTGCAGGAGGTGTCACAGGGGCGGGGACACCTGCGTGAGGCCTGTCACCAGGGCTCTGAGATGGGTTGGCCCGAGCCGGGCTGGAGGGAGTGGGCAGGGACAGGGCGGGGGTGCCGTGCAGCGCGTCCCAGGGGCTCGAGGTTGTGAAGTCCACGCTGTGTTTATAGGAGCCCTGGAGGGTTCCGAGCTGTGTGGAGTGGGAGGCGGCTTCTGCAGGAGCTGAAGGGAGCCCCAGCGGGCAGGTGCTCAGATCCCTGGCCGGGGGTGGGATGGCACTGGCCGCAGGGGAGGACGGCAGGGGCGAGGTCTTCCAGGCTGTGTGTTCTGGTGGTGGTGATCAGCGGGCACTAAAGGCGTCCAGGAGCTCTGCACCGATCCCTGTGGAGGCCGTGGGTACAGGCAAGGCTATTCAGGGGTAGGGGGTGGGATGGGTGGGTGGACAAGCGCTTCCCCAGGAAATCCAGGCCCAGAAGGCCTGTTAGCATACAAGAGGTCTTCCAAACGTTCATGGAAAATAATGCCTAATGAAAAAGCCACACATGGAGTTCACATGTGGTTCTTTGCACCAACATAAACTTACCCTTGAGTTCCATTTGAAGCACAAAACTCACTACTTCACTTCTCAGCACAGAGTCCTTTCCGGGGGCCCAGAGGGACACTGAGGGCAAAGGAAGGGGCAGGGGCCCTTGTTCCTCGGTGGTGGGGGGAGGGTGTGAGAGCAGTGAGCTTTGAACCCTAACGTGTTCCCTCCTCCTGGGGCCTCCTCGCCCCCTCCACCGCCCAATCTTCGCTGGACGCGCAGGCCGGGGGCGGTCAGGGTGTTTGGGTTTAGGATGCTGTAGTCGTTCTGAGCACACACGTTACAGGGGGTGTGTGTCACGGTGGGTAGAAAGGCTGTCCTGGGCGTAATTGAACAGCACAGGTGGTTGCATCACACAGCCGTGCCTGTTTCTACTGTAGGTCTCCACATTCGGGAAAGAGGGTAGTGTTCCCCAGTGGCTCCTGGGGACCCCCAGACGTGTGCCCCAGTGCTAGCCCCGGGCCAAGTCGTCTTGTTCTTATTCTCATGTGAGAGGACCACACATCGATATAACGCTGTAGAGAGCTATAGGGCAGAATCACTTTATTATTTTTTTATTTGAAAGGCAGAGTTACAGAGGCAGGTCTTCCATCCACTGGTTCACTCCCCAAGTGGCCACAATGGCCAGAGCTGAGCCAATCCAAAGCCAGGAGCTTCTTCCAGGTCTCCCCCATGGGTGTAGGGGCCCAAGCACTTGGGCCATCTTCTCCTGCTATCCCAGGCCACAGCAGAGAGCTAGATTGGAAGTGGAGCAGCCGGGGCTTGAACTGGTGCCCGTATGGGATGCTGGCACTGCAGGCAGAGGCTTTATTGGCTACACCACAGCACCAGCTCCCAGGATCACTTTTTTGAAGCAGTCGTGTTCGGGAGCACCTTTCCCAGGAATTCCCCAGCCAGAGCTTAGGGGGACATAGTTCACGTTTCCCTTGAGCATAAAAGTCGAAAGCCCGTTCTAAGTAAAAACACCCAGCATTACCTGTGCTTTTTGTAGCAGAGAGAAGATAAAAGTTTCGGGTGAAGGAGGGGCCCAGGCAGAGCTGAGAGGGGGGTGGTGGTTTCACCCATCTCGGGGTTGGAGGCTACAAGCCTGGGCGCCGCAGACGCTAGCACGGAGTGATGTCTACACCACCGGGCTCCAGAGGACGGGGCTGAACCTGTCCTGGCTGCCGGGCAGAGCGGCTGAGCGTCCCCCCGGGAGCTTCCAGTCTGGCACGTCTTTCCTGAGACAGTGTCTGTGCAGCGCCCGGCTCGGGCCTCTCCTGGGCTCGGGCCCCTCAGCCTGCTGGCCTCCTTGCCCCGGGGTGGAGCTTGTGTGGGTACGTGTGTGTGAACCTGGAGCACGTATAAGACGGCATTTAAGAAAAACAGCCGGCCTTGCCCTGCTTGAGTGACGTGTTAGAAACCGTGGCTCTCTCCCCCCACGAAGGACATGGTGCTGGCACTCACAGAGAAGAACTTCGACGACACCGTCGCGCAGGGAATAACCTTCGTCAAGTTCTACGCTCCGTGGTAAGTGGCCGCCTGGTGCGGTGCTGTCACGTCCTTTTCCCCGATCATTGGCCTAACGCTGCGGGCTCAGTGCGGGCGGGTGGTCCACTTAACACGGGGGTCATGCGCTTCGTTCCGCCCTCGGATGCAGGCGCGTTGAGGTTCGGGGGCCTCGTTCGCAATTACGTGTAGAGGGGTTATTTTAAAGCCCCTTCTGCTTTGGAGAGAACGCACATAGCAGTGAAGTACGACAGTCAGACACACGTTTGTACTTTCTCCAAATCTTTGTTGGGGAGAGCCACGCACATCAGGCTAGAGCTTAGCTCTTCCGGGTCCGTTCAGCAGTGGTGCAGAGCAGGCCAGCGGAGCTCAGCTTTCTCTGGGAGCCACTCGGTACGTGACCCAGTGCTCGATCCCTCCCACCACGTGGTCCTGGGAGCATGAATGGACGGTGCAGGTCCGAGACCCAGACCGGCTGCTGGTGGGAAGACAGCAGGTCCATTTGGACACACAGGGCATTGAGGGGAATGGTCCTCCTTGTGTAGACGGGCCGAGGTTACGCATCACTGTAGGCCTTGAGCTTAGTTCAGGCTGGGTATCCGTGAGAAGCCGCAACAACCGAGAACAGTGACTCAAATGAGCCGTGCAGTGTGCAATCCTTTTTTTTTTTTTTTTTTTTTTTTTTTTTTGAGAGAAACGGAAAGGTCTTCCTTCATTGGTTCCCCTCCCCCAAATGGTCGCTAAGGCCAGAGCTACACCGATCTGAAGCCAGATCGGTGCAGGGCCCAAGCACTTGGGCCATCCTCCAATGCCTTCCTAGGCCACAGCAGAGAGCTGGACTGGAAGAGGGGCAACCGGGACTAGAACCCGGCACCAGCCCCAGTTTGCAGTCTTAATTTTTTGGTTTCACAAGCCCTAAAGCTACATGAGTACCAATCAAGCATAAAGAAAGAAGACAGGAGAGAAGCCGTCCACGCGGAGGGAAGGGATCAGAAAGGGGGGCCAGGGGGCAGGTGTGAAACGCACGAGACGGAAGCCCTGAGCTCGCGCTGCGCCCGAAAGCCGGCGGGCTAGGACATCTGTTCCCTCTCCTGCTCCCGGTGCATGCAGGAGCCAGTGAGCTCTGTTCACCAGACGAAAGCAGCTCAGAACCCAGACCTTGCTTGCTTCTCTAGGTGACCTGGAAATGGACTTGGGGCGGGAGGTGGTGGAGTGAGCACGCGCACAGCGGGAACCTGGTGACCGCTGCAGGCCGTCTCGGAGCAGCTGGGCAGTGCCATGTGGGTGCGTGGGTGCACGACCGCACCGGCGACCCCAGCGGAGCTGTCCCTGCTCTCTCTCTAGGTGCGGCCACTGCAAGAACCTAGCTCCCACCTGGGAGGAGCTCTCCAAGAAGGAGTTCCCTGGTCTGGCGGAGGTCAAGATCGCCAAGGTGGACTGTACCGCTGAGCGGGAGATCTGCAGCAGGCATGCGGTGAGTAGACGCGGGCGCACACACGCAGGGTTCCCCCGAGGGCCCACCCTCCTCCTGAGTCTCCGGGGGCGCTCTCGAGGCTTGCCCTCTGCTGCGCTGCAGAGACACACTTAGAAACTTCCCTCGGAACGGGCCGAGCTGTCTTCCTGGTCTAACGGCCGGGATGATTTGCAGGTGGTAGAGCCACGAGGTGGGGAGGGGGGCGGTGATGCCTGGCCCACGGGCTGTGTAAGGTCACATACAAGGCGTCGCAAGTAGCAGGCTCATTGTTTAAGAAGTTGATGATTTCGTATGGTCTGTGACTGTTATAAATACCCAGACGGCCCTTGGAGGAAAAATGGCATCCCCCCACCCCCGCCCTGCCCTGTTAGAGCTGATGCCCTCGCTGGAGGGAGGGTGGAGGTAACACAGACGCGGTTCACTTACTAGTAGATGCCTGTCGGGTTAGTAGGCCCAAGGAAGCGAGCTGCACCTGCCTGGTGCACGCTGTGAGAGTCTTGCTGCAGCTCACGGTGGGGCTGGGCCAGGGCGCTGGGCAGGAGTGCAGAGCCCCCGCCCCCGCCCCCTGCCTCTCCCATGCACCTTAAAGATGGAGAGAGGCTAGCGCCATCCCTCCCGTACTGATCTTCAGTCGACCGTGCAGCCCCGAGGTTTTGCCTGCTGAACTCTCCGGTCTTTTTTCAATGCTCTGTACATCTTTGCAAACGAGCCGCCGAGTTTCCCAGCCCCTAAACTGCAGGAGCAGCGTGTGAGAGAGCGATGGGGAGCACGGGTTTTCAGACCTTTCTTCTTTTTCGTGAAGGTGCGAGGCTACCCCACGTTGCTGCTTTTCCGGGGAGGAAAACAAGTGAGCGAGCACAGCGGCGGCCGGGACCTGGACTCTCTGCACGGCTTCGTCCTGCGCCAGGCGAGAGACGAGCTCTAGGAGCCCCGCGGGCAGGCGCCGGCCTCCGGGAGTCACGGCCAAGTTCGCGGGCCGTGTGGCACCTTCTCCGTGTAACCCGGGGTCACTGTGCACACTCGCTGCTGTCAGTGGCGACACACCCCCTTCTAACTTTCTCTTGATGAAATTAAACCGTATCCTTTGAGGCTAAAATGAATTGAGAAAAAGCAAATAACTGGACTGTTTTCGGCTCCTGGGTGATTCTGTGGCAAGCAAGCATCCCCCAAAGCACGGTGTCTGGGACTGCCTGCGACCGCTGATCCGAGTGTCACCGTCCATTGACGTCGACTTACTAACAAACGTGGTCAGGCCGGGAGCGGAGGGAGAAAGAAGAACCCACGCGCCCAGAAGACACCTCCGTGGCTGCCAGTGGATTTTCTGTGCCACACCTCTCCCCCCACAAGAGGTTAGCCAGAGCGAAAGCAGGGGTCCTCCTGACACGTGCCTGAGGGTGCGGGTTCCAACGCCGTGATGCCCCCGATGCGTTCCTACCCGTCTGGTCCATTAGTATCATTCCAGGATGCTCCCGTCTCTTCCTCAGGGGCCAAAAGGGCTCAGGAGTTGACGACGTCACCGTGAGAGCCTTGAGAGTGGCTGCCTTCCGTAGAAGCGTGCACGCGGGCAGTCCCGCGCGGCGCCGTCCCAACTGTTAACTCCCGGGGAGGGTCTGGTCCTATGGCTGCTTTCCTAGGTCCTAGGCCCCCAGGGAGACCCGGAGGCTTGCAGTACCTGCCTCCCTCCTACGAGGTGGCTGACGGATGAAGGAGGGGATTCCTTTGACCTCAAGACCAAAGACTGAAGCCGGCAGCCTGTTCTGGTCCCAGGTGTGCACAGTCATGGATGCTAGTGTCCTGGGTCTGGTGTCATCCTGCCGTTAAACTGTCACCACCCCCACCGCCGCCTCCCTGCCCCCTGGAAGTGAGCAGCCATAGGACTGAGCTCCCGTGAGATACAGACCTGTCCTGTCCTTTACCAGCGAGTCATTCTCGGAAGAGCCACTCTGTGGCCCGTGCCCTCTGCCCGCCTCCACAGAGCAGCCGCCGGCGCCGTGTGCCGTGGCAGGGGACAGCCGCATCTCGAGCCGGCCCCTGCCTTACAGGGAATCTTTATTGATCACGTGTGGTTCACAGATACTCTTGAAAAACCCAACCTTCTCCAGAAGCCCAGGCCTCGGGTAAGGCTTCGGCTTTGCATCATGAGTCTTGTATTGGAAGAAAAATCAAAGTGGTACAATTTGTTTACACTATACTTTCTAAATAAACTTTTTAAAAAAAAACAAAGCCCAGTCTTTTCCTTACATGTTACAGCAAAAGGGATATAAAATAGACAATAAATTATAGTTCCTATTTACAAAAAAAGCTGTAAGTGCAAAGAACTATAGATTATAAATGTATTATTTAATCAGTTTAGTATGAAATTGATTTCCCAGTACATGAATTGTGAAAAAGACATCTTTAAAAATATTCTAAGATTTAATCTGAGCCTTAGCTTTCTACCAGAGGAAACTGATTTCAGATTTCAGTTTATAAACAGCACACTCAGCACCCCCAACCCTTTCCTAACGGCCAGGCGCCCCTTCTCGATGTCTCCTTTAGCGGTTCTAACTACAGCATTGATGGGCTGTACAGGAACAGGCACAGAACCACGTTAACGCACCAGCGCTCAGAGCCGACGTTCCTGAAGGTAGCAGGCCAATGTAGAGGGGGTGCAGAGCTGCTTGCTAAGGCGAGGGCCACGGTGAGTGCGCCGCGCCTCACCTCTGCGTACTCTGTCTCTGAGAATACAGGCGGGAGAGGGTGGAGGTGTGGAAATGATGGGGTGGGCTCTGGCTGAAGTCAAGTCTGTTTTCATACAAACTACAGCACAAACCATGTAACAGCCATGACTGAGACAAAAGGCACCTGGCTACAGGTGGGGCTGTTTCTCCCATGGGAACTGACCCTCCTGGGAGCAAAACCTGCATCATCCTGCATAACCAACCTGTGATAGATGCTACTGAGCCGCTGACACCAGAGACAAGGATGCTTTCACTCTCCCCGACGTTGCTTTCCCTACTTACCCACTAACATCACAAACAGCCTGAGCTCCAGCTAACTCTGGGGGGCTGCGGGGGCAGGGAGCTCTTCAAAGTTCTGTCTCTGCAGTCGCCAGACCTCAACCTGTGAAACATTCGACTATTCACGTTATGTACGAAACCAGTGAGGTCCTTTCAAGCCTTCCGTGGGGCAGTAAGGCACCAGCATGAGATGGGTTTCAGAGTTATCTCACTTCCACTGTGGTTCTGAATGCTTTGTAAGGCAGTTGTCACCCAGGAATCCAGAGTGGACTTCGTGTCCCCAGCAGACGGCTGTGAGCTAGTGGCATCCGCAAGCTCTTACAACCATATTCCTGTACTTCTTCAAGATGACATTGGAGTTGTCGTCAAAGTAGAGAACTGAGATGGCGTTGAGTTTAGTTGGAGCACAGCACGGTTTGGGGACATACTCGGGATTCATAAGGTGCACCTGTTTGGAAACAGCAGCAGGAAGAGCACCGTTTAGGAAAGGCTCCCGGTCTGGGTTTGGTCCCATTTGCAAAGTGGCACGTGGGCACGCTCACCAGGGTCTGCACGATGGCGTGGTTGGTTGCGTTCATGTGTGCGTTGAGGGGGAAGGAGCACTCTCCGTCACAGTAATTGGCAGCATAGCCCTTGGGTGCGATGATCCAGTCCTTGATAACAAGGAAGCAACAAAAGATGAATAGACCCACCTCCGTACACCCTCTGTGCTCTGTAGCCCTGTGAGAATTTGTGGTGGACACGTAGGGAGGCTTGGGAAGATTTTCCCAAGTTCACAGGCAAGTGGCAAAGTTGTGTGGACCTGGTCAGTCTGCCTCAGGAGCCCTTGCTCCTTTCCTGGGCCCACACAGCCTCAGCTGCTACCTGCACGTTAGGCCTGGGAGCCCGCAGGTGCCTGGACCCAAAGGACCTCCAGGAGCCCAGGGTGCCCCTGTCAGAGTATTGCCACTTGCCTACAGAAACTACTACCTCTCATCACCTGTAATTAATTTGCTGCTTACAGACTAGCGGTGGCTCTGCTATGTGGGGCAAAACCTCTGTGCTCTTCTGCATGGTTTGGGTGAGCCAACTGATGGCCACTGGAGACGCTAACTATTACATCATTATCTCAAAACTATTAAAATTTGTGCAAACGCCCACATAAACATAAGTCCTGTGGGCTTTGAATGAATGAGGTAAGAGTCCTGGGAAATGCGAGCATTGGTTTTCAAGGATCACAGAGCTTGGGAAGCCCAGAAGGTGTCAGTGGACGCTCAGTGCACCAGGAGCCTGGGCCCCTGGGACGGCTGGGACGGATGGAAACATCACAGCCCTCACCTGGGAGGTTCTGCACGATGGCCGCGGCCAGTACTCACCTGCCACCCCAGGTCTTGGAAGCTCACATACAGCTCATGCTTCCTGCAGGCTGTTTTCAGCTCACTGCTGTTGTAATCTGTCCGAGGAAATTCAAGACGCACACGTTAACTCCTTTAAAAACACACGCGGGGAGTTCACCAAGGGCTGGGCGTCGTAGGAGGTGCAGGACAGCCCTGTCGGACACACGTGGTCTCTCAAAGGCTCTCCGGATTCCAGGTTGTTGGCTGGAGCACTTTATACTCCGTTTTCCACTCGGCAGTCAGCAGTGAGCGCGCCGCTGACCTGGGCTGGCACCTCGAAGCCCCAGAGGTGTGGGCTGTGAGCCCCACCATGTGCAAGGCCTGGGGAAGGATAAGCCCAGATGGCCTTGGCCTTGGCGACTTTGAACTGATGTTTACAGAGGACTGTGGCAGGCAGGATCTGCTGTATATCAAACAGAGGCCACCTGAAGCAGCCCAGAGGCGTGGGCAGGAGCTGCCAGGCCAGGAAACATCTTGAAGGAGTGGCATAAGGCCTATCCAGGGGGGCCTGGGAGTGGGGGAGGGGAAACCCCACACGGGAGGCATGCACACGTGTGGGTGCCACCCTCACAGCCAGGGCTGAGCCCTTCTGCACTACAAGCCAGGACCCTGAACCAGCAGTCCCAGAATTTGCTGACGCCTACAGTCAGTGTCTCCCCTTATCCACGGGGAATATGCTCCAGGACCCCCAGTGGCTGCCTGAGACCACACATTGCACCAAGACCCCCACTACACTATGTGTTTCTCTATACATCCTTACCTTTGGCAAAGCTGAGTTCACCAGGCACAGTAAGAGGTCAATAACAAGAAAATTGGACAAGTGTAACAATATTCTGTGACAGCAGTTTTCAAACACGTGACTTGTATATTCCTGGGGTTTTCCATTGAATATTGCAACCGAGGACAGAGGGGACCATTGCACCCACCCCATGTGATACAGGTGCCACCCGCTTGGCTTAGTCTGATCCCCAGCGAGAGGCTGAGCCCTGGAGGCCCATGGGGGCAGCCGTTCTGTGCCTTTTGTTGGCACTGCCAGATCAGGAAGCTAAGTCAGATGTGGATTCCATCCTGAAACCTTGAGGAAGTGGGAGTGGGAGACACGTGTATGAGTGACCCCAACACTGACCAGTCTGAATGCTCTGTGCAAGGGCCCTGGACAACACTGGGAGTTGAGAAGGGGCAGTGCAGGGTGGGAGCAAGAGAAGAGAGTGGTCCTGTTGGAATGGACTTCAGGGAACCAGGGAATCATGCCAAATGGAATTAAAAGTTTACTTTTGTGCCCCAAACTTTGAAATCCCTGCCTATCATGGGTCTTCAAAAAGCTCATGAAAAATGAGTGACATAAAAAAGCCACACATGGACTTAAAAATAAATTTTGAACCCAAATAAACTTAGGCTGATTAATTCTATCTTTCCATGCAGTTGATAAAGCACCCTTGTATGTAAAGAGAAGTCGAGCAAGAAAAAGTGGGAGAAACGAATGGCCTCGACTGCCAGTCACAATGATGTGGGCTTCCGACCAGAGGGGCACAGTGAGCCTTTGAAAGTTTCAGAGCCACAGAATGATTGTTCAGAGCTGCGATTCCAAAGGATTAACCTTTCTTTTCATGTTAATATTTAATCATAGTGGGGCTGGAACGTTCCAGAGAGGGGGAGATGAAGGTTAGGGAGAAGACTTGGGAGAAAGGTCCTTCACTGAACGCAGACTTCAATGGGTACAGAAGCCCAGGGCATCTGCACACTGCCTTTGTCCTTCTGAATCCCACACTGCTTAATGGCGGGGATTGCTTCTGAGAAATGGGTCATGAGGTGACTTTGTCACTGTGTGCACACTGCAGTGTGCTATGGGCTCCTGATGGACAAAGCAACACAAGCCTGAATCAAGAGCAAACGATGCAAACAGGAGCTACAGTGGATGCCAGAGGCACCGAGCTGCTGCTGGTGTCACAAGGCTGACGCTAATGAGCACAGTATATACAGAAACTACCAGTAGGAACGTAGTTACTGCTGTGTTATCACCACGTCTTCTGCACCACACAGAATTGTGTGTGGTATCTTTATGACTGGTGTTGCATGTGTTTCCATGAGCATCATCATAAACACGCCATGCTTTGCTCTATGACATCACCATGGCCAGGACATCACTCAACAACAGGAATTTTTCAGCTGTTGCGATCTAATGGCACCATCATCATATATGCAGCCTATCACTGACCCAAATGTGGTTGCACTGCTCAAGACAGCACCGTGCCGGTAAGTTACCCGATACTGAACGCCTGTTTGGACTAGAATTTTGTCTTTGTACTCCTGGACTTCCTGGCCCTGAATCAGGAGACAGCAGGCCGATTTCATGATCTTGTAAGAAAAAGAGACAAATGATACCAACTCAGGCCAGTGACCTGCAATAGGAGGAAAGGCCAACTTTTTGAGGTGGTTACTAACTCTGAACTTACTCCCTCTTCTTTCCTGCCTGCCTCGCCTCACTGTAAATTCAGGTACCAGGAGAAGCAAATTCAATGCTGGGTGGGGGGTGGGGTGGGGGGAGGAATTGTCAAAGTGCTGGGCACAGAGGACTCAGAACAACCACCCAACCAATCAACCTCCAACACAAGAAGAGACAGAAACTTCTAGCTGGAAATGATACCTCAGCCAGAATCAGCTGCATAAAGAAACAGGGTCAAGAGGAGAGCTGGCGTGCAAGACAGAGGAGACAGGGGCCCCCAGGGACTGCGGGTCAGCGTCACTGCTGAGGCTAGAAAGAATGTCCAAAAAAGGGGAGAGAGAAGAGGAGGACTGGAAACCCTAATGCAAGTATACTATAAAAAAGGGGCTTGAAAAAGAACAAGAAGATGTGGAAGAATACCACATAGAAGCTTATAAAGGTGAATCATTGAAAATAAAAATGAAACAGCTGAGCAAATATATTAGACACAACTGAAGAGAGAATTAAAGAATTGGACAATATATTTAAAGAAACCTCTTCATAACATTGGGGAAACCCTGCAAGACATTGGCATAGGCAAAGAGTTCTTGGAAAAGATCCCAGAAGCACAGGCAATCAATGCCAAAATTGAAAAATGGGATCACATCAAATTGAGAAGCTTCTATACTGCAAAAGAAACACTCAGCAAAGTGAAGAGGCAACGGACAGAATGGGAGAAATTATTTGCAAACTATGCAACTGATAAAGGATTAATAACCAGAATATAGAAAGATATCAAGACACTCGCCAACAATAAAAGACAACCCAGTTAAGAGATGGGTAAAGGACTTAAACAGTCATTTTTCAAAAGAGGAAATCCAAATGGCCAACAGACAAATGAAAAAATGCTCAGCATCACTAGCCGTCAGGGAAATGCAAATCAAAACCACAGTTAGAATGGCTTTCATACAGAAATCAACAAACAACAAATGCTGGCGAGGATGTAGGGAAAAAGGTCCCCTAATCCACTGTTGGTGGGAATGTAAACTGGTACAGCCACTGTGGAAGACAATATGGAGATACCTTAGAAATCTGAATATAGACCTACCATTTGACCCAGTCATCCCACTCCTGCGAATTTACCCAAGGGAAATTAAATCAGCATATGAAAGAGTTATCTGTACCTTCGTATTTATCGTAGTTCAATTCACAATAGCAAGATATGGAATAAAACCTAATGCCCATCTACTGAAGACTGGATCAAGAAATTATGGGATATGTACACCATGGAATACTACATAGCAGTTAAAAAACCCACAAAATCCACTCATTTGCAACAAAATGGATGAAACTGGAAAATATCATACTTAGTGAAATAAGCCAGTCCTCAAAGGACAAATACCAGATGTTCTCCCTGACCCATAACTACTAGAGTGCCTAAGAGGTCATCCATGGAAGTGAAATTGACACTTTGAGAAGTAATGATATTGAACAGCCCTCATCTCAGTTGTTGAGGTAGTTTTTTTTTTCATGCTATTTGTTGAACTCTACTTAGCATAGAGTTAATCATATGTGTATAAAGTTAATTGAAAATAGATCTTAGTAAAAAAGAATGGGAATAAGAGGGAGGAGGAGAGGAATGGGAGTGTGGGTGAGAGGGTGGATACGGTGGGAACAATCACTATGTTCCTAAAGCTGTAATTAGGAAATCTGTATTCATTAAACATAAGGTTTCTGGGGACAAAATAAAGAGAACCCTTCATATATAGCACAGACTCAAATGGCCAAAAAATACAACACTCTGTAACGAGATATGGAAGACAGAATACAAGGTCTGGCATATTTTTAAAAACATTGTATACATTTGAGAGAGAGGGAAAGAGGGTAAGCGTGCACTCTGCTTGCTGATTCACTCCCCAACGCCTACAGTGTCTGGGACTAGGCCAAAACCAGGAGTTTTGGAAGCTGGGAACTCCATTCAGGTCCCCTCATGGGTAGCAGGACCTCACCACTTGAGCCATCACCACTGCCCACTAACACCTTCATTGGCAGGGGGCAGGAGCCAGGTGTCAAACTCAGGTCCTCCCATATGGGATGTGGGCATCTGGACCACTACCTACCACCCAACATATTTCTGATAGGGATTTCTGAAGACAGAAAGAAGGGAAAAGTAATATTAGCAAACATAATGGATATTTTCTTGAACTGGAGACAGACAAAAATATCTTTTAGAGGCATGAGTGCTGAACAAAACAAACAAGGGTCTTCAGAAAGTTCATGGAAAACATACATTGTGAAAGAAACTGCATAGATTTCAAAATTTGCACCAAAATGAATTTATCTTTAATTACATTTTCCCATGAGTTTTTTGAAGTATCTTTATAAATTCCTACCTAGCCACCCACATCTGGTAAAATTAGTATACCAAATATATACAAGAAATTCTTAGAAGCTACCAAGAGATTAAAATGAACATTCTCTACAATGGAATGCAAAGTAGATCAATAGCAAACAATAAAAATATTCACTAAAAACTAATTTCATTGAAGTCATGCCATAAACCTAGAATTCCACACTCCGCTGTCATGGATATTTATCGAGTACTCAGCTTCGAGGGACACTTCCCATGGTGGG